GGCTCCCGGCGCTCCCTCCCGGCCCGCTGCCCCGCAGCGGTCTTGGCCGCTTCCCGCAGAAATGAATTCCAAACCGGTCAGGGCCCATGACAAAAAGCGTTTCCTTTTATACATTTTGAATTTTTAATTGCTATCCTCTCGGTCGGATATTATTTTATTGCACCATAGCATTTTATTGCATCCCATTTTACTGCCGTCTCTCTCTGTAATTTTTTCCTCAGCCCTTAAACACCTTCCCCACCCTTCTACTTCTGCATCCGTGGGAATTCTTTAATGAGGTGATCGGTAAGCACAAGCCATTCCAAACGAAGCTGTACCGCCAACGTAAATTAACAAAGGGGGGGAAGGCATAAATTAAGCATTTTTCCTTCCAGCCTGCATTCAGAACCGAATGTTCTTACTCAATCCACTCAGCCTGCTCAGACCTCTTTGAACTCCTCACAGTCCTCTTCTGGGCTCACACAACAAATAATTGTCTCCAACAGGAGAGCAGTCTCTCATCTGTCGTTGTTTAACCCTTCTTCAAACTTAAAATATCTTATGGGTATCATAAATTAAGCATTTTTCCTTCCAGCCTGCATTCAGAACCGAATGTTCTTACTCAATCCACTCAGCCTGCTCAGACCTCTTTGAACTCCTCACAGTCCTCTTCTGGGCTCACACAACAAATAATTGTCTCCAACAGGAGAGCAGTCTCTCATCTGTCGTTGTTTAACCCTTCTTCAAACTTAAAATATCTTATGGGTATCCCTGGACATAAAGGCACTTCATAGTAAATCTCTTATAGGGAGAAAGAAAAAAAAATCAGCCACCAAATTAATAATATATTCTGGGGAAGCAGGAAAGAAAATAAAAGCAGGAAGGAAAAGGGATCTCCCAGGTGAGTCTCCAGACGCTCTGTCTAATGTATGGAGCAGATGTGTACCACTGTGAGCGCTCAACGTCTACTCCGGATCACCCAGACACGTAATTGGACTGTGCTTTGATTCCCAGCCCCTGCAAGGTCTCTCTCTGGGAGAAACCAGACAGCTGCCGAGGAGAGAAGGCAGGCAGCAGTAAGCTGTAGGTCTCCTCCTTCGTATGAGGAGATGGCCTGGGCACCCACCAGCGCTCGGGACGCACCCCTGCTCTCCCACAGCACTGGCACAGCCTACAAGGAACCCATGCAGCCGCCAGCGGAGATGCATCGGAGAGTTCACAACGCTAAGCTTCTAAGTATAATCATCTTGTAGAAATAAAGGACAAACCACGATACGAGTCACGTAATTCACAAATTATTATTTCCATGTGCATGGACAAAACGGATTTTCTTTGAAAATATTCATGATGTCCTTCCCTGCTAAAGCGCACTTAGAGCAATTCCACAGTTCTATGTATGGGGCTCCATCAGAGACACCAAAGTGGCATTCTTACATTATCACTTCTAGAATGTGCGATGCACCTCATGCTTGAGCTTGGCTCCTACTCGGGTTTCTGATCACCGTTCTTTCCCCAGCTCCGAGCTTCTGCGAGGCATTTCTAGCCTCTGGTGAGGCTGCAGAAGGAACAACGAGAACGCAATGTGCATGTCTGAAAGCCTAAGATTGCACACAGATCACCCATGCTGAAATGCTGGTAGAAGCAGCTGCCACGTGTGGCCTTATTTGCTGACCGCAGGGTTCGCACAAACACAGCACGGCAAACAGCCGTCTCAAGTCAAACAACCCTGCACTGACTTTGACAGGAATACACAAAAGCATGTTTCACAGTTGCATTCCTACTGTGAAGCGAACATAAGTTTTCCACGCAGTTGACAAGAAAAACAAAAATAGTAAGTTTAAAATATAATTATCATCCACAGTTTAACTGCTTCAGTTCTGTATCTGAAAACTTCTAGTGAAGACGTATATCTTATAAAATCTTCTAAGACATTTATTTTCCAATTTGACCTCTTTGACCAACTGTCAAAGAAAGCACGAAGATTACTTCCATGTAAATGTACCTTTTCTGAAAGGTACGCTCTCCATAGGATCCCTGCTCACTGCCTGGAACGCAGGGCTGTCCGAAACAGACGCCATCATCTTAAGCAGAGAGAATCCTAGAAATTCAGCTATTATTACTCACTCTTGTGTCAGTTCTGAAAAACAGTAATTCAGTAGAGGCACACGAAATCCGCACGCATAACACTTTTCCCATTTTATCAAATGAAAGTAGCACATTTTATTACAAGTCATCTGGAGCGATTTTTATCAGAACTCCTCCTCTTTCCTGAACTACTGGATAATTAGCCATGTCTGTTTCTCCTCAGAACCCCTCCCTCTCCCTACACATCCGCCTTCTGTAGTTCTACTTGCCAAGCTCTTCGGCATGGGTTTTTTTGGCCTTATGTGTGACCCTACGCCTTTTATCAGACAAGGGGATTGCTATCAAAGGTGCAGTTTTCACAACTCAAAGTGGCCTGGAATGAAATTCCAGTTTCTCTGGTAAGATACGAAGTTTCCTCCAGCTTTGTGAATTGCATTTAATTATTAATGTCTAATCGACATTAGCGGTATTAACAAAATTTGCTTGCTGGCTGACAAAAAAAAAAAAGATACTGTGTTTACCAAAACATGTTGCTGAAGATCAACAGAATCATAGAAAAGTAAGGATTGGAAGGGACCTTAAAGATCTTCTGGTTCCAGCCCCCCTGCCATGAGCAGGGACATCCCCCACCAGCCCAGGTTGCTCAGAGCTCCATCCAACCTGGCCTTGAACACTGCCAGGGAGGGGGCAGCCACAGCTTCTATGGGCAACCTGTGCCAGTGTTTCACCACCCTCATGGTGAAGAATTTCTTCCTAATATCTAATCTGAATCTGCCCTCTTTTAGTTTACAGCCATTCCCCCTTGTCCTATCACTACACACCCTTGTGAAAAGCCCCTCTCCATCCTTCCTGTAGGCCCCTTCAGGTACTGGAAGGCTGCAATAAGGTCACCCCGGAGCCTTCTCTTCTCCAGGCTGAACAGCCCCAACTCCCTCAGCCTGTCCTCCTAGGGCAGGTACTCCAGCTCTCTGACCATCTTCGTGGCCTCCTCTGGACCCGCCCCAACACACCCATGTCCTTCTTATGTTGGGGGCTCCAGAGCTGGACGCAGGACTCCGGTGGGGTCTCACAAGAGCGGAGTAAAGGGGCAACAGGAATATTGCCTGAGCAACCCAGCCTGCTGCTACGCTTCACCCTGGGGAAGCCGCTCTCTCCTGGAACAGCAGTGGGTACGTACGACCCTAAAACTCGTTCCGCCGCGCCTTGCCGGCCCCCACCCCAACGCCGTTCGGATTCATTCGCCCCACAGAGCCCCGACCGGTGGCATTTCACACGCTCTAACGCCGTACCAGCTCCCCAAGCGCCAGCCGGAGGCCGCGCTGGAGGCCCT